CAATCAATGTTTCGATGCGGTCAAATGTCAGGGAAATTCGCAATTTCGCGTCAGGGAAGTCAGGGAAAAGTCAGGGAAATTCTTAATTATTTTTTGCATAAACCCTGAGCAGCAACTCAGCAGTCAGCCCGACGTCGGACTGCAGCTGGTGAGTAGGCAGTTAGAAAGTATAACACCCCACTGACGGGCGAAGGCGCCTCTAGTGGCAGACTCGTGACTGGGAGGTTTGGAGGACACAGTTCTAAAGCATTTCTGAAGCACTCACGTTAAAGCGCCTCATTGTGTTTGTAGTACACTGTAAAAAATTTGTTCGTAAATTTACAAACAAATTGGGGGTAATTTCGTTGCACGAATTATTTGTAAATATACAACGTTTTTATGTTTTTATCGATTTATGAATTATTCTTCACGCAGTAGTTTGTAAAATCACAAACTTTTTACAAGTTCCAATTTACGTGGACCGCTTTTGTTCAACTTTGTCACGCTGATTAAATGAAGATAAACTTGTTTCAGCGGATTTTTTTTGTTCTATGAAACATCTTGTAGTTTTATGAAACATCTTGTAAAATGACGAAGGCATCACCCTACTTCGTAATTTTACAAGCGATTTGTGCAACGAAATTACCCATGGATTTGTTGTAATTTTAGGAAACATTTCGTAATTCTGTGACCTCACTGTAGTATTATCGTCACTTTTGAGATGTATTTAGTTCGTACCATTTCATAAAGCGGTGTTCACAAACAAATTTCATAAAATTAAGAAGATTTCTGTGATGAATAATCCATAAATCGGCCGTTACAAATAAATTTCATAAAATAACGAAATGTTATTGTTACTTTACAAGGAATTTGTAAAATAAAATTTCGTAAATTCACAATATTTTTTTACAGTGTAGTCCTCCAGAAAGGACAGAATCGTCTAAAAATTATGTTAACGGTAGTAAGCGTCCACATCTGTGGAAAACTCCGGTAAGAGGGCAGGCGGGTAGTGTATTGTTATAGGGTTTTGTCGAATCTTGACTGAATACGTTGAGGAATATCAACTGTCCTTTGGTTGCTTCCGGTTGAGCACTTAAGACGAGACAACACGTTTTGAAGTAGCGTTTTCGAACTTCATCTAAACGTGCGTAAAACCAGCCGAGGAAGAGTATTTTCCTTCTCACCCGCTTCAGATTGAAAGCCCCCCCTTGATAACCTATACACTGGTGAAACAAAGGCATAAAAATTATGCCCTTAAAGGGCGTAAACGATTTACGCCCTTAAAGGGCATAAATCGTTAATGCCTTTGGGAAGGGCATTAAAATTTTGCTTGAAATTCCCATACCATTTACGCCCTTCCCAAGGGCATAAAACGATTTATGCCCTTGCAAGGGCGTAAAAGAGCATTTATGCCCTAAAGGGCGTAATTTTTACGCCTTTGTTTTACCAGTGTACATTTCGTTCGATCCACTTCGATCCCAAGTTAAATCCAATAGGGTACTTTCGTGGATCCCTGAACCGGAAGCACACAGACGCCATGTTGGCGGAAGTAGATCCAAACTTGACATGGGAAAGAGACGTTAGTCAAACGTATCGGCCATACTTGAACATAAACAGTCGTTTAATACTTGTTTGCAGTGCATATGTTTCTCGCGAGCAATATTTTTACAGTTCGACTAAAGTTTTAGATCCGAAGAGAGGTTAGTTTCCGGCCAATTTAGCGTCTGCTGGTCTGCTTGCTTCCGGTTTCAGGATCTACGAAAGTACCCTATTGTGCCTCCGGTCCAGTGTTTCGCAAGCAATAGCCAGGTTCAATTTATTTTCTATCTTCATTTGCAGCTTCCGATTTTGGCTTACCTCAGGTATTGGGTCAAATGATGGTCCGCACAGGCGTAGGACTTGATAGAGAAAGGGCGGCTGGCGAGGCCGAGTCCAGGCTTGCCCGTCGAGCCGGAAGTCAGGGTAGGGTTTTGGCCGTCCTTGGGCAAAGCGTCGCGCTTAAGAGGCGGGTGCGCTTTTCAGGCTGGTAGAGGATTGTCCCTTATGTGCGTTTAACATGTTCCGAAACTTCTGGACTCTTCCACCACCTGTGGAACGGGGCGAGATGCAGGGCCTGACCCTCACTTCCCCGCAGCGTGACGTTACGCAGGCCCCTCGCCCAACGGAATGTTACGCAGGTTCTCTCTCTACTATGCTGTATTAGCCCTACACTCTAGAGTTCTTACGGATAAGTCATCACCGTAAGCTACGGACAAAATTGATTCATTGTAATTACGGATGGGCTTGTCCATATTACGGAGTTTGACATCTGTATTACGGATAAAAAGCATCTTCAGGTTTTCAGAATTTCTGTACGGACAAAATTATCCGTAAATACAAACACAACTATTGATCCATAATTACGGCTACTAAACCCATCCGTATTATCAACTCAACTTGTCCGTAATCCTGATCTGAACCTACCAATCCATATTAACATCAACTTAACTTCAATATGAAGACTAATAAGGTGCAATATAGTTTCATTAGTTTTCAAACTAAGAATAGTACTTTTCCTGTATATTGCATCATTCACCTATTGATTATTCAAACTAAAATCTTCTAAGTGCCATTCTGGCCGTAGTCCAACAGTTATTAAATGACACTCTAAGAAACCTAACCTAACATTTTTATTGAAGAAAGAATTGAAATATAAACAAAAGTATTGTTATATTTATAAATGTATGTTGTTGGGAAGCAGAGAATTTACCTGTGATAATAAAAGCACCCCCAACGTCTCCAATCCTCCACAGCAGATAAGTGTGTGTTAACATGGCTGACAGCCGTCCAGTTTTCGCAGACACAAGCATCACTTCTCAAAGAATAAGTGAATTAATAACTTTTATGAACCAGAAACTTGCAAATCATCGTAGTTTCTGATTTTAAACCAAACTAAACGAGGTTAATCTACACAGAAACAAAGGGGTGACTGTGAATGTTGGATTTCTCATACTTTCACGTATGAAAAGTTTAGCGGGACGGTGTTTAGAAAAAATGAAAACACTCCGCTCCGCTGTTTGTGCTGCCGATTTTAGGCACAATTAAGGCCTTCACAATTGGTGTCAGCGATGGTGTCTCACCCCAAAGTCCATCAACGATGGCATTGTTTGCAAACACTGAAGAAGTCAGTGCATGTGATTTTTGTTGTCACTCGGTTCTTCCAGCATACGGTATCAGATCAGCAGACAGTATAACCTCACCAGCGCACCAACTTCAAAAGAAAACATTTACAGTATAGCTTGAGTATGGTAGAATGTTTTGTGGAACTGCCCACAACAACTGGTTGGTTAGATTGAACAGTTGCTCAGTATGATTATTGAAATGCAGTGATTTCATAATCAACACCAAATTTGGGCGGTAAGTACATCTTTTTCTGCTGTGGCCCTGCTCCACCGTTACCCAAGAGTGTCTATCGTATCAGCAAGTAACTCAATCAATAGCTCTATTATGTGCCAAATAAAAGTAAAAGTGCTTGCTAGTGCATAAAAAAGATAATTGGCATTAAAAAGTATAATATACTGCTTATCTGTTTCCGCTCAGTATGGCAACGAGTAATTTATGAATTCTGTTTGTATAACGAGTGTCGATGAATGCAATTACTTTGGATTCTGTAAGACTATCCGTAGTTACAAAGCTACATCTGTTACGGACAAAGCCATCCGTATGTTACAAATCAGGCTATCCGTATTACGCTTGCGCAAAAATGTTTGTAAGGTACGGATGAATTTGTTTGTAATACGGATGAAGTAATCCGTAAGAACTCTAGAGTGTACGTGTCGCCTACCCTCTCGGATTTGGTTGATGTTAAGTGGGCGTTTTTTACCCATTGACCAGGCGCTCGACAAAATGTCAAGTCACTCACGTTTAAAACCTTACGAAGCATTTTAAGCATACGTTAGACAAACTTAATTACTTTGTTATGCGAAGAAATAGTTCGTAATTTACGAAGTATTTTCTTTGTAAGGGTATGTATGCTCAATATACTTTGTTGTAACAAACTGCTTTCCTTGGTAAGGCCTAAAATAGTTTGTAAGGTTTTTTCAGTGCTTGAGTTCCTCTGTCCAATTTGTGTAGCCCTGCTATTCGCTCTGACTAAACTTTTGGCATTTCTAGTATGAGGGCTTTCGTGCCAGGTGGCTGAAATTTGGCTCGCTTGTGTTAAATTGATTGAGAAGTGAAGATTTGATCTGCCACGGAATGCGGAAGTGAAGGGTCTTTCGGAGAAGATCTACACTGGTAAAACTAAAGCGTAGTTTTACCCTCTGTTCTCAAGCGTAATCAGTTTACGCTTGGAATCAAGCGCAATGGGCTCATGCGTCAAGATTCCCCCTATCTGAATGCATCGGGGAATTTCCAGAGTATGCTTCATTTCAAGCGTACACTCTCGGACTCTTATTTACTTTTTTCTCTCCCTTATTGGCTTTTTGTCCTTTGCTTACGTAGTTTTTTCAGCAGCAATAAGAAATACTAGTATTTTTAAAAAATGAATCGAAGAAGTGAAAAATGTCTAAGCCAACCTTTTACGACAAAATAGCATGCGCAAGAAGATTTTTAAAGTTATAGCCTAAATGGGAGAAAAAGGCTCTGCGACTGGGTTCAGGGCATAGAATGTGCCTCCCCAATGAAAATTTTTAATAAATACTTGATAAGACATCAAATTTTTAACAAATTTTCACAGTGGGACCTATATAGAAGAAAATAGCATTTTCACCAGAACCTCCCCTTAAGTCAATTACGTATTGACTCTTTGTCAATAGCAAATTGACTTCAATACAATATAACGATCAGAATCTTACATAGATATTGAGGAAATAGTACTCTTTATTGCTGTGTAAAATACTCTTAACAAAGGACAAAAAGTCAATAACAGTCTGAGAGTGTAACGTCTTCAAGCGTAACTTAATGCTTGACTCAAGCACGGAAATTCCGCTTTAGTTTTACCAGTGTGGACCGGTAATCCAGTGGACATGCAGAAAAATGTATAAACATTTAGAGGTTTCTCATGTCAGAGACCCAACTTCTCATGCTCCTTTCTTCAGGGAAATGTGGCATTCAAGATATGCTGTTAAAGAGACGATTGCGATACTTATCATGTCTCAAACATTCTCACCTCGAAACCGCAGCCTCCATGGAAGAGAAAGCCAAATATTTTAACTTAGTCTCCCTATCGCGAGCAGACTCTGAGACTTGAAGGTTTTGAGCTCTGTTGCTCTGAGAGAGAATTGCCCACGTCTCCATGTAAATCGACCGCACTGCCTGTGCGTTCTTATTTCAGAGACATGCATGGTTGCCACGGTTTTCTGAGCCGTTTTCTCCGAAGAATTAACGCAGCCTATCATACACTGGTAAAACTAACACGTAGTATTACCCTCTGTTTTCAAGCGTAATCAGGTTACGCTTGAGATCAAGCGTAACAGGCCCAACCGCCAAGATTCCACCTATCTAAATGCATGGGGGAATTTCTAGAGTATGCTTCATTTCAAGCGTAACGTCTTCAAGCGTAACTTTATGCTTGACTCAAGCATAGAGTTACGCTTTATTTTTACCAGTGTACTAGCTTGCTCTGAATCAAGAAGGCAGCCCTTTTTGAATTGCACTTCATCGCTATTGGTCCTTATGTTCTTGTACTGATGCGCCATTTTCATGATGAGAGAGGGAGTGTTGAGAAAAGCCAGGCGATAGAGTCATAATCAGGAGTTAAGTTTTGAGTCAGGTCCGTCTGTATTTCCCAAACAGAAAGGTTTCCTCCGAACTTTGGGTTACAATACTATTAGGCTTAATTCGCTGCAAATACACCCTTTATGAAAATCCTCATCTGCGGGTGATTAGGTACCTCGCCCTAAACTGGGCATTGATCATAAATCTCTCATTTTCAGTGAAGCGGCAGAAGAGCGCATACTGAGTGGCGTATGTCCCCATCGTGAGCGTGTTACGGTGGACGTGTGCTCGACCCTGAGCGGAGCGCCCCAGGTTCAAGTGCAGGCCACAGTGTAGCGAACAACGTTTAAGGTGGTAAGTTACAACTCACTTTACAATCAAACATGCAGCAGTCAATATTTTGTGCTGTAACCGAGGAGTGAAACACTCAGCGTTCTGGTGTATTAACATGATACACGAGTACGTCTGAGTTCAACTTACGAAATTCAAAAATTTCATAAGTTCATAACAGGGATCCTTCACGTACCTCTAAAGGGCATCATAGCGTTATCGTTCGAGTTTAAGTTATAACCCTTAACTTCTGACCTTTTCAGGAGGATTAGGTATCTCTCTAGTGTCTCGAATTTGTGTGGAATTACTTTTGGAAGTATTTGCAAAAGTCCGTACCCTTAACCTTCAGCGAACATGTCTTATGTTACGTCATGGATGCAGTGTTAGTTAAATGTTAAGTTAAGGATCCCTGGTTTATAAATGTCTTAAGGCCTTACTTAACGTTTAAGGCGACACACAACGCCAAATCGTGCAAAGAATTTCCGAACTTGGCGCTTTATGAACTTGTGAGTACACAGAGTTCTGGCCAACTTGTACACATGAGTACTAGTGATTCGACCCACGGCTGTACCTCTCTTTCCACTTTTAGGATGTGTAAAGGTCTTCAGATTTCAGTTGGTTGTTCAGGCAGTGTCTTTGTTCCCCGCACGGCAAAAGTGACGCCTGGGATTCCCAGGCGGCTCCTGGAAAATAGACGCCTTTTTCCAGAGTGGGTCTGGGAATCCCAGGCGCTGCTTTTGGCGTGCGCTCACACGCAACCCCCGTCCCTTGGTTGCAGGCGTCGGCGCGGAGCAGGCCCAGCAGCTGCTCGTCGGCGAGGCCTTCTCCCTCGCAGTGCCGGCTGGCGACGCGGTCCAGGACGAGCAGGCCTCGAGCAAGGAGACGGGCAGGAAGGCGCGCCGCGTCTCCGAGTGCGGAGTGTGCTGCAAAGAGTCGTCCTCTGCTGTGCATCTCGAGACACGCAAGAGTCAACACTGCGGGTGGAAAACGGTGCAACTGTGAAGTGTGCTTGAAGGGGTTCTCGCGTTCCCACTACTAAATAACTAGAACAAGCCTTACGTGTGTGACGTGTGGAATGGACCACGAAGCGGAAACTGTCGTGAGAGGCGCTACGCGTCATATAATTTAGACTTCTGACGATGGCGGCTTCAGTTTCCTAAAAGCTGCTTGACCGGCTAGCCTGTGGAACTTGGTTCGTCCATTCAAATTAAGATGCAAACAGTAACATATATACTCCCATTTATTTTAGCAAGCGTTATGTTTGTGCCGGCCGAATGAGGTTTCTGTTGCAAATCTTTACATGGTTATGTTGTTGAAATTGTTGTGCAGCCCTGGTTACCTGTTCACCTATCTGTGATACCCTGGATAATGGGTCTTTGTTAACTGTCATCACGTCCAGATATTTTGTTACTTACCTATTAACGTTTGAGTGCACTAATGGGACCACGTTAGCATAAAGTCCAGTAAGATATTCATAGAAACGCGAGTTACACCAATAAATTGGTTGATAGCGCTATTAATGCACCCAAACGTCCGTTCGTTATTACTGAAATAATTAGTACGAGTCTGAGAGTGTTCCAGGAGCCTCCTGGAATACCTGGTGAGGTACCGCTTTTGTCGTGTTTTGTTGAAAGACTCATTCACATGTTCAAAGTACTCATCCCGAGACCAGTCCCTATGTTTGTTCGTGAAAGCTCACCAGTTACCATCGTTGCTTGCCGGTATTGTCTGTGTTAGTTATAAACATACGTATTTCGACAATGTTGAAATCAAACATTGGCTCTGGCACTTCCAAATCAGTTAAGATGTAGCGTTCATCCAAGTGTTTTTTTCTGTTGTAGCTGTGCTGTTTTTACCACCTTGCGAATGTGCCAATACGAGCATGTACATGAAAGGTTATACTCCTAAGCTCTAGTTGTGATCAAAGCACTCATCAGCTTATTTGATGATGCAAATAAGCCATGCGATTTATCTGCAGCTCATTGTTTACCCTGACACGTTTGTTATTGGCGGTAGTACTTTGTTTAGTGGATTTTAGTTTTCGTTGATGATTTTGATTTCCATCGACGCTTATCCTCCTTATTACAGTTTGATGTGCCCCGAACTCCTGTAGCTTCGCATGTCTGTGTGGCTTTTGCATGCCGGGTTCTTTGGGCGCCGACTCTTCTGTCGGATGTTGACTCCCTTACTTTCTGTCCAGATCTGAAAGCCGAGAGCATCGACTTGCCGACGGAGAGTGCTGACTGCGACTGGAGCTCCGGACTGCAGCCGTCCCCGTGCGTGCAGTGCGCTGTGTGCGGTAAGGCCCTCGCCGCCCCCTCTGCGCCCTCGGCTGGTTCTGCCAATGACGGTGGTTCTCTTCCAGGCCCAGGCCATGGCGGTCCGTGCCTGCCGCTGCACGGAGTGTTCGACCAGCTTGACGAGGAGGGAAGCATGCCGGACTCCAAGGTCGCTGCAGGTGAGTCTTCGCGAAGCTTCTTATTATTTATTGCTTTGGCAGCCAGTGAAAGTCCTTGAAATGACGTTGGGATGATCTGCTCCACCCTATGGGTTGCCTTACGACACGCAAGGTAGCGCTGTCCCGCAACACTGCCGCTCGTGGATGTCGTCCATTGTGCAGGGCGGCCCCCCAAATGCACTTGACCGTTCAAGTTCTTTGGCAGGAGAAAATGGTGCAGAAGAATATAGCGCAACCTGACAGAATGTTATTTAGACCTACATTATCCTTTACGGCCATGCAGAAATCTCACTGAAAATTAAGTGGTCGGACACAGCCAAATAATGGCGTGACAAGAAGTCACGTAAAAGTTGTCGGGACAATTCACGCTACAAACAACGGCATTACGTATGCGTCACGCCATATTCTGGCGTGAATGTACCATGTGGCTTGGGTGCGTACCATGCGTTTGATCAGAAATGTCGTGCCAAAAAACTGGCATGATACGTAATTCACGCCAAACGTCGTGAATTTCGGACTTACACCGACTTTTGGCATGACTTTTCTGCAACTCCGCTTTTTGGCGTGACACCTTATTCACGCCTCTGCAGCGGCAAGAGGTCATGCCGATATATTTTCAGTGCTCTACCATCGCAGCCCCTTCGAAAAGTAATCGCAAGGAAAGCCTCGAAAGTCGAGTTCCATTCTCACCGTGGCCGTCCCTTGGTTGCAGGCGTCGGCGCGGAGCAGGCCCAGTAGAGGCCTAAATGACGGTAAATCCTGGATAATTTTTTTTTGCCAAACTTTGCCGTACATTAAAAACCAGTATCCACCGTACAGTCTACAGTCTTTACCGTACTTGTTTTTCAAAATATTCCGTACTCTTTTAACAGTAGTTACCGTTCTTCCGTACAGTCCATGCCGTAGGAAGGACCAGATCTGGTCCCAACAAAGGCCGCTTCCAAGAAGTGTCCACATCAGGATCTTAAAAAAAAGGGGGTCGACCGACTGAAGAATTTTATTGCACCTTTCGATAGGTCTCGTCAAGACCTTCACAACGTGTGGTCGGAAGGGGGGTCCAGGAGTCCGACTTCAGTAGTTGCGTACATCAAGAACTTGGAAAAAGAGGGTCAACCGACTGAACAAAATGATACCAGTTTTTGATAGGTATTACAAGTACGGTATTGCCGGGTTAAAAAGCACGGGATTCCCTGTAAAAAAAAGTACGGTGTTGCCTGTAAAAAAAAGTACGGTATTGCCTGTAAAAAAAAGGACGGTATTGCCTGTTCAAAAAAGTACGGTGAAGTCTGGAGTAATCAGTACAGGATTTACCGTGATCTTTCCTCGCAGTGTGGATCGCCCATGCTTTCCCCATTGGCTTCCTGGGAAAACCAGGTTCCGTTTTTACGGTGCAGCGGCAAGAGGTCATGCCATCGCAGCCCCTTCAAAAAGAAATCGCAAGGGAAGCCTCGAAAGTCGAGGTGCATTCTTACCGTGGCCGTCCCTTGGTTGCAGGCGTCGGCGTGGAGCAGGCCCGGCAGCTGCTCGTCAGCGAGGCCTTCTCCCTCGCAGTGCCGGCTGGCGACGCGGTCCAGGACGAGCAGGCCTCGAGCAAGGAGACGGGCAGGAAGGCGCGCCGCGGATTCAACTGTGGGGAGTGCGGCCAGCGTTTCCGGACTGAGAGCGGACTGCAGGACCACCTTGAGAGTCACACTGAGGGCGGACCTCACGCGTGCGGGGTGTGTGGCAAGGAGTTCTCCTGGAAGAGTCATCTAGTGTCGCACACACGGATGCACACTGGAGAGAAGCCTTTCAAGTGTGACGTTTGTGGAAAGGCATTTTCTCAACCATTTAATTTGGTAACACACAAGAGGATCCACACTGGAGAGAAGCCTTTCCAGTGTGACGTCTGCGGGAAGGCATTTTCTCAAGCAACTAATTTGGTAACACACAAGAGGATCCACACTGGGGAGAAGCCTTTCGAGTGTGACGTGTGCGGAAAGGCATTTTCTTATTCATCTGATTTAGTGAAACACAAAAGGACCCACACTGGAGAGAAGCCCTACAAGTGTGACGTCTGCGGGAAGGCATTTTCTGATTCATCTGCTGTAGTGGCACATAGGAGGATCCACACCGGTGAGAAGCCTTACAAGTGTGACGGCTGCGGGAAGGCATTTTCCAATTCATCTGATTTAGTGAAACACAAAAGGATCCACACCGGGGAGAAGCCTTACAAGTGCGAGGTGTGCCGGAAGTGCTTTTCAATTTCATCAGGTTTAGCAAGGCACAAGAGGATTCACGCTGGGCAGAAGCCGTAGGAATGTGTTGCGTGAGGAAAGACCTTTTCTATGTCAAATAACGCGAAGTCACTCGAGGAGACCTACGGCATGTGGACACTCGCGCGTGTGAAACGGCTCCCTCAATAGATCTTTGATTCAAGCACTCGGTGTGAGACTCCTCTATGTTAACATGATGTCCTCTTCGCTGTCGATCTTTTTTTGTGTCAATTATTCCCGCACCGTCAAACTTTATAGTGCCAGTATCAGCACTACGCATTGTTAATGTTAAAATTGGTTTTGCTTACTGTTAACAATGATTACACGTAAAATATTTTCTGTTTCTTCTTTGAAAGGGCGCAATTTGTCTCTGTGTGTCAAAACTTTGCCAACTATAGATGTTGATTTTAGAAATGATTATCTCGTGACAATCAACGAGACAAGTAAGACTGATTACAAATCTCGTGTTGAGTACCATGTAGGTTGTTGAACCTTATTCCGGCCTCCCTTGTCGAGAAAAAGCAAATAGACCATAATGGAATCCACGGGTTTCTACCATTAATGTTGGCTAGATATGCCTTGCTTTTTTACTCTTAAAGGGAGGTTCTGGTGAAAATCTTGCCATTTTCCAAGTGGATCCCACAGTCATAATTTGTTCGGAAGATAAAATTTTTCATTGAGGAGACTAAAATTTGACTTTTGAAGGCACATGCCAGGCTGTAAACCCAGTCGAAGAGTCTTTTTGAGCCTATTTTGGCTGTATCTTAAAATATCTCCTTGCGCATACTATTTTGTCGTAAAAGGTTGACCTTGACATTTTTCACTTCTTCGATTCATTTTCAAAAGATTCCGGCATGCATAGCTCAAAACTTCCATTTTATTTTTAATTATTAACTTTTTAAGCTGAAAAGTCCCTAAAATTTGTCTATTTTGTACATTTTTGATCAATTATAGTAAAATGCTTGGTTAGAAAGTTTGCGAATAAAAATGCAATTGACATTTTGAGGTGTGCATGCCAGCATTTAAAAAAAATGAATCGAAGAAGTGAAAAATGTCTAAGCCCAAACCCTTTTTCGACAAAATAGTATGCGCAAGAAGATTTTTTAAAATTATAGCCTAAATGGGAGAAAATGGCTCTGCGACTGGGGTTTAGGGCATAGAATGTGCCTCCCCAATGAAAAATTTTAATAAATACTTGATAAGACATCAAATTTTTAACAAATTTTCACAGTCGGACCTATTTAGGAGAAAATAGCATTTTCACCAGAACCTCCCCTTAACTTGTGGCGACCGGACTTGCAGTAGCAGCCGCCCCAATCTTAGTTTGTTTTTTCTTTTCACGAACGCGTTGCTGTAAGTGGCATGCTTTTCTTTTTCAATGTATTCATCCTAAATATAGTTCGAATAAATTTCTTGTAACACAACAGAAATGGCACAAGCATAACGCGGAGGTGGTTTTCCTTCGTAATACGAAGGTTTTTGTTGTATCTTCCAATGCAATTGCTGAAAGGTTTCGAATTATTCATTCAAAGTTCTTCAAAAATGAAATCTGGCCCCCTACACTTCTCCCCTTTTGGCTAGTAGTTTTCAAATTGTGTGGCGCTTTTGCATACCGGGGTGCTTTGGGGGCTGACTCTTTTATTGGATACTGCCTTCCTTATTTTTCTGTCCAGATCTGGAAACCGAGAGCGTCGACTGAATTCCTCAATAATTAAGTCTGAACCCGGTACCTCACTTTGGAGTGTGGTTTAGTGCGTGGCGCTTTTGCATGCCGGGCGCTGGGAACAGGTTTATTGGGAGCTGACTATCTTATCGGATACTGACTGCCGTATTTTCTGCCTAGATCTGAAAGCCGAGAGCATCGACTTGCCGACGGAGAGTGCTGACTGCGACTGGAGCTCCGGACTGCAGCCGTCCCCGTGCGTGCAGTGCGCTGTGTGCGGTAAGGCCCTCGCCGCCCCCTCTGCGCCCTCGGCTGGTTCTGCCAATGACGGTGGTTCTCTTCCAGGCCCAGGCCATGGCGGTCCGTGCCCGCCGCTGCACGGAGTGTTCGACCAGCCTGGCGAGGAGGAGGGTAGCATGCCGGACTCCAAGGTCGCTGGAGGTGAGTCTTTCGCGAGGCTTCTTACTCGGCAGCCAATGCAAGATCTGCAAATGGCATGGGGTGGTCCAACTCCACTCTATGGGCTTCCTTACAACACGCACACTTAATGTTTCACTACTTTAATTGTTCATAACCATGGCCATAATAGTATTTACGCAAGATCTGTACAATTTCATAGGAATATTTGAAATAATATTTCATATTGTGCTTCAGTATACATAATTTATGTTCAAATTTGAGCATAACTTTAAAATGTACAAATGTGACCGTAGTTACGGACAAAAAGGCTCTAAGAATTTAGTGTGCGAGACTTTGCGCTGTGCTGCTACCCTGACGCGAGTTGTAGTGCATTCTCTTGATGGGTGGTCAACCATTTTGCAGGGCAGCCCGCCTGAAAATGCACTTGTCTCTCCAATTTATCGGCACGAGATTACGGTATAGGGCAAAGAACTTAATGCAATCTGCCAAAAACTCAAGGAAACCTCGATTCTCCGTTAAGGGCCACACAACTTTCTGCCACTGCAACCTCTTCGAAAAGTTATCGCAAGGCAAGCCTCGAAAGTCGAGTTCCATTCTCACCGTGGCCGTCCCTTGGTTGCAGGCGTCGGCGCGGAGCAGGCCCAGCAGCTGCTCGTCGGCGAGGCCTTCTCCCTCGCAGTGCCGGCTGGCGACGCGGTCCAGGACGAGCAGGCCTCGAGCAAGGAGACGGGCAGGAAGGCGCGCCGCGGATTCAACTGTGGGGAGTGCGGCCAGCGTTTCCGGTCTGAGAGCGGATTGCGGGACCACCTTGCAAGTCACACTGAGGGCGGACCTCACTCGTGCGGGGTGTGTGGCAAGGAGTTCTCCTGGAAGAGTCTTCTTGTGAGGCACTCGAGGATCCACACCGGGGAGAAGCCTTTCCAGTGTGACGTCTGCGGGAAGGCATTTTCTGATTCATCTCATTTAGTGAATCACAATAGGACCCATACTGGGAAGAAGCCTTACAAGTGTAACTCGTGTGGAAAGAAGTTCTCGGATTCATCTGCTTTCGTGAGACACAAGAGGATCCACACCGGGGAGAAGCCTTACAAGTGCGAGGTGTGCTTGAAAAGCTTTTCACTTTCATCGAATTTAGCAAAGCACAAGAGGATTCACGCTAGGCAGAAGCCGTTGGAATGTGTTCTGTGAGGAAAGACCTTTTCTATGTCAAATATCGCAAAGTCTTTCGAGGAGACCTACGGCATGTGGACACTCGCGCGTGTGAAACGGCCCCTCTATAGCTCTTTGATTTAAGCACTCGGTGTGAAACTCCACTACGTTAACCTGATGTCCTCTTCACTGTCGACCTTTTTTTCGTATCAATTATTCCCGTACCGTAAAACTTAATAGTGCCAGTATCAGTAATACGCATTGTTTATGTTTGAGTTTTTTTTTGCTTACTGTTTACATTCATCATATGGAATATATTTTATTCTTATATTTTTATTCTTTGAAAGTGCGCAATTTGTCTCTTTGTGTCGAAACTTCGCCGACTATAGATGTTCATTTTAGAAATGATTATCTAGTGACAATCGACGAGACAACAGTAAGACTGATTACAAATCGCGTGCTGAGTACCATGTAGGTTGTTGCACCTTATTCTATCCTCCCTTGTCAATGTGTCATGGTCAAATCAAATAGACCATAATGGAATCCACGGGTTTCTACCAGTAATGTTTGCTAGATAAGCCGTGCTTTTTTTCTCTTAACTTGTGGCGACCGGACTTGCAGTAGCAGCCGCTCCAATCTTAATTTGTTTTTTGCTTTTCACGAACGCGTTGCCGTAAGTGGAATGCTTTTCTTTTTCAATGTATTCATCTTAAATATATTACGAATAAATTTCCTGTAACATAACAGAAATGGCACAAGCATAATGCGGAGGTGGTTTTCCTTCCTAATACGAAGGTTTTTGTCGGTTTTCGTTGTATCTTCAATGCAATTGCTGAAAAGTTTCGAATTATTCATTCAAAATTCTTCAAAAATATAAAATCTGCCCCCCTACACTTCTCCCCTTTTGGCCAGTGGTTTTCAAATTGTGTGGCGCTTTTGCATGCCGGGCGCTGGGAACAGGTTTATTGGGAGCTGACTGGTCTTATCGGATACTGACTGCCGTATTTTCTGCCTAGATCTGAAAGCCGAGAGCATCGACTTGCCGACGGAGAGTGCTGACTGCGACTGGAGCTCCGGACTGCAGCCGTCCCCGTGCGTGCAGTGCGCTGTGTGCGGCAAGGCCCTCGCCGCCCCCTCTGCGCCCTCGGCTGGTTCTGCCAATGA